GCTTTCGCGAGGATGCGGACGAAATACGTCGCGAATGAATCACCCGTACGAGCGGTCTGGTAGTATTTGTCAGGCTTACGACACGTGGAGATCAGCGTGAGCGAAATACGAAAGAGGAAGAGAGAGGCAGAGAGAAAGAGAGAAACGGCAGGCACCTGAAGCCCCGAATTCTCAGCGTTGCATTGTGATGTTCGCGAGCGCGCTTCGTTTCGCCGCCCAGTTACGGAAGCGGCCGTATTACGAAAATTCGCTCGTTCTTTTTTTACGACGACGGATTTATGGGAGGAAAATATTCGCACAGGCCGACCTATTTTTTTTCGTCGCCATAAGAGCACAATCGTTTTGATCCTATTTCGTATTCGCTGTTCCCTCATAAAACACCACACGATCTCATTTATCGTGAGTTTTTGACCACTCTTTGGTCGTACATTTAATTTATGAGTATCTATATGACTATCATATTTTTATCAGTTTCAGTTATAGTTTGATATACAGCTGTCAAAGATATCGTTGCCATATTTGATTTTACAATAATGTTGAAAACACAGTCCACGCAATTACACGGTGTAACATGTGTATTGAGACATGCTTTGTAATGTTGCGCTTGAATAAGTACTGGATTTCGTTAGAGGAGATGCGTGCAGAAGATTGGTGTCGAATCACCACGATTACTGTGTATTAGTGAAAACGTTCATCACAATGCAATAAGTGTCATTGGTGAAACGACGTCTACGTACCATAAGAGTGAAGGGTCATGCGTTTTGCATTGAAAGACATCCTTAATTATGTAAGTGAGGTTCGTCAAGTCAGTCCGTCGATTGGAAAAAGAAGTCATCTGTCGATTGAATAAAAAGATCGTTACGCGTGTATACGAATAAGCTTATTTGAAGCAACTGCGCATATGTCCTTTTATATTTCTTTTCAACAGAAGGAAAAAGACATTTCTATTTTCTAAGATATCGATTCTTTGGTAATCAATCTGCTCATAATTCGGATTATTTAAAGTTATCACATTTATCATATGCATTGTATAATAATAGAATAGAATGAAATCTATACAAAATTAGGTCATGCGTTATAAGGTACAAAATTTTGATTATTATTGTTACAATTTGCTATTTATTCGAAACTTCTCGATATTTATCAGCCTAAATGACCACTAACTGTTAATTTGCCAAAGTCACTTCTGGTTGGCCGTTGTAAATCGAGCCAGCTGTGGTGCATGCCGATTGCCAGACACGCGGACGATTTAGCATGAGATCAGGTGTGACAAGCCAACTGGGGCTGATAAATCGCGCAGATCGGCACTTACCAGATTTTCCGATATTGTTGCCATTTGCCCATGGGTATTAACCCTTAATATATGAAGTGCACGTTGGGATACTAGAATACCCAATGCATGGCACGGGAGGAGTCTATGTATCTTGTTACGTATTACGCTTGTACCGTACACATTACACGGCTCTTTATCATGTAGCTATTGTGAGCTATTATTACATCACTTTACTTATCATCAATGCACATGCGCCTATTGTAAATGCAAATTGAGATAGAAGTGCAGCAGGTTGATTAGAAGGCTAGGGTCAAATCGACTAAATATGCTAACGCTATTTCGAATTTGTTCTCTGAACGAAGATATCCGACAATTTCCCCAGCTCCGCGTGTGAAGGAGAAAACGAATTCTTTTGTGACAAGGGAAGAGTAAGTTGAAAGATATTTATTAGTATGGGCTGTGTTACAGACGTATACTTGAAGAGAGTTTTGAGATTTTGTTTCTACATTCTTCATCGATGATGCCTGTCGGCGTGTATCATGAACAGAGTACACTTTTACTTCTATGATAGCACGTGGAGTAGCTTGGGAGATGATAAAAGAGAAGAAGCAACTTACTAAAAAAGTATCCATATTTTAGAAATATTGCACGCTAGACAAACGTTTCGTTCGTTGATTTCTCCCAACGTGTGTCACCGCGCTGACCTCGAGCGAAAGAAAGAAGAAAGTTCTGGCTGGCGATACAAGATGCTGCCGCACCTGCGCGCATTCCACTCGACGTGACCCTAAAACTTTAATGTCCGCCGTGCGTTCACCTTGACCGTGGATCCTGCTGTAACTGATAGCTTCCCTTTCATGGTTAACTATTCGCTGGTACGAAAATATAGAGTCGGTTCTTGGTAGCACTGCGCGTGATCTAAAACATGAGAAAAAGTTTGCAAATTTGTACTTTCCTTTATTTTATGTCTCAATGGATTTGAATGTATTTTTGGGAAAAAGCAGAAAAGAAATTCCTCTGTGAGTATATCACATAATCTCATGAAACACACATACTATCACACTTCTTTAACGAGATATTGTCGAGCTAATATCGAGGGAACAGGTGATGTATGAAAGCGTAACTTTCATAATATAAGTTCGATAGTTTAATCGGATTAGAAAATTTACCGCGAGCATACATATTATTTATGACATAAACGTCAAGCGAGGCACGTCGGCGTACGTAAGAGATGAAATTAAAGACAAAGCTAACAGATCCAATTTCTCCCGACACCGTGGCCGTAAGTTATGGTTTTCCGGAGAATGGAACGTATCGTTGAGCACGATACTACATCCGCTGATTCAGCTGCAGGTAGTGAATCTATGCTGGCTAGGGTATCTCGCAAAATAATCACTCTTGATCGAACAATCGGGAAATGAAGATATGGAATTTTATGTAACGCCCGGCACACACATATAGATTGGATCTATAAATTGCGGTACCGTAACTGAAACGTGATCTACAGTAGAATTCACGCCGTGTAATTAGTACTGTAAATTTAATAATAGCCGAATTCTCGAAATATGTTGCATTAAAATGCACAGCGTCATAAGTGCAGGACGCGATGCCTCGATGAAAGTGACGCTGCACAATCGGAATAATATAATAAATACGTTGAAATGTGACGAAAATTACGGACACGCGTATTCGTGTGATGATGATACAATTGGCGGTCGTTTGGACGATGCGATGGAAAGCGTAGAGATCGGTGAATAAAGAGGAGTGGAAAAAAATTGCGACGAACGGTGTCGTTGGACAATTAATTCTAGCGCGTACCGCAACTAGCGACCTTTACCACTCTCGTGGGCCGCACGGACTTTCGGGCGAAACAATTTTGTTTGCGGGTCTCTCGTTATTTCGAGGTTTTTGCGGCGGTAACAGCATCAGCGGTAGGTGGTACTGTCGACGGACAGACGATGCCAGACCATGAGGGGCGGCACTTTTCCCCTGAATTATTGACGACAACGTAATGGATCTCAATGAGGTCGCGTGTGTGTGTGTGTGTATATATATACATATATATATACATACATACATACATACATACATACATATATATATATATATATATATATATATATAAACACACACACACACACACACATACACACAAGTGTCCCGAACCTCCATGATGACCCTTGGTGAGAACGTAGAACGGATTGAGGTGAGCAAGAAAGTCCTGTGCCGTTTTGCGATATTCGCAATAATAGTCGAGATATTAATTAAAAAAGATTGGTGAATGATCACGCGCAATATGGTAAATGAGCTGCAGTGGCGCCGTCTGCCGTTGTATACTTATACATTAAATCAAACTGAACAAAAAAGTCCTTTACCATTTTGTAAATTACCATATAGATTTTTAGATATTAATTAAAGAACATTTATGCATGGTATACAATTATATATGTAACAATTTTCTATAATATTTAAAAATCTATGTAATCATTTGCAAAATGGTAGAGAACTTCTTTGTTCAGTTTGACTTAATATATAAGTATACAACGGCAGACGGCCTCACTGCAGCTCATTTACCATATCGCGCGTGATCATTCACCAATCTTTTTTAATTAATATCTCGACTATTATTGCAAATATCGCAAAACGGCACAGGACTTTCTTGCTCACCTCAATCCGTTCTACGTTCTCATCAAGGGTCATCATGGAGGTTCGGGATATATGCGTCGCTGCATCCGGTATGCATACGTACAGAAATTGCCGCTTTCCGTCTTTTTACCACACGTCAGAGGAGGCTCCAGGATGTGATTAAAAGTTCAAAGATCTTCCGATAGTGTTTGACGGCATGAGACATCGCGCGAGAGGATACAGCTGCTTAACCATTTGGATTTTATCGTTCGTCGCAAGTTGTGAGAAATAAATAAATAAATAAACTGCGAGTCATGACATAAACGCGACATAGCATCTTCTTAACTCTGTATATGGCGAGACTACGTTGAGATCATTTACGCGTATTTTTGTGCGTCCTAATTGCATTGCGATAATTAATCAGTACGACCGAAGATTGCACCAATCCACAATTTTCTTTCTCTTTCTTTTTCTCTCTCTCTCCTCTCTCACGGCGGCGCGAATTATTACTCTGCGTTGCGTAAGATTTCTCATGTGTACACACGATGCAATACTCCCGGTGCATATCCTTTGCGGCTCGATGATGCATCATTGATTCTTGGCCAATCCTTAAAGCAGGCGCCGGCAAATATCTTTGACGCGCATGAAGTTCATAATGAATCGTACAAATGTCGCGTATACTTAGTCTGTCAGCGTTTCGTTTCTGACCAACGTCAGTCGGATCTCTGCTGAATCGAATATTCGGTCATGAAATACACGAGAAGTTTGTCGTAAATTTCATTGGCTTTTTTATACAAATCATCATCATGTTGCGCTTTTTTCGAACCTTCTGCGACGAAGGTACAGGAAAAAATATACACGTGTGGCCGCGATAATTCGGTCCCCCGTCGTTCTACGTACGCGGAATATTCGGCTGATCGATCTCACAGCATAAAGTCTTGCGTGCACCACGGAAGGATTTCCAACCGGTTTCACGCGACGGACGCGTCGTAGCGATCGGGCACCGGGGAGTACGCGCGCATCTTCGACTTCTTTGGTGAGACAGAGGCAGGGCTAGCCTACTTTCTCTACAAAGAGAATTTTTATACGACGTGTGAGGAAGGCTCCCTCTTCTTTCACGCTCTCGTCTTCGCGTCGCCGTCGCCTCCTTGCCGTGTGCCCTCTCTCTCTCCTGTCTCCGGTACCCTTAGGCAAGGCGCGCGCGCTCACTCTCTCCTTTTCCCGGGTCTCCTTTCCACGATTCACCCGGCAACCTCAGTCGACGACTTCTCCGGCTGGTAGCCCTCCTCGGAGTCTATATAAGCGAAGGCTTCATACGAGACCGAACATTTTTTGTGTTAGTACCGGCGAGTCGTGTGGTGCTCGACCGTCAAAGAGGCTGCAGGCTGACGAGTGCCAGTATGGTGTGCGCGACGTGTGATACGACGAATCACCGTTAAATCGTATACGACAAGCTCGGGATAGACGCGACTTCCTTTAAAGTGCGGTGGCGAAAAGTAGACGAGTCGAGAACGGAGGAGATTCACGGAGAGTGTCGGATAATTTGTGTGTAGTGCCGAGACTACGGTTCATGCGCGTGTGTCATGGCTAAATTCAAGGTAGGTCGCAGAGAGTCGCGCAATTGTCGCGTCTAATTCATTCGTGGGGTGTTTATACCCTCAACGTGTAGGATCAAATAAAACGCTGCGACAGATACACCAAACGACATATTTCCTCAGCGCTCTCCTGGTGTTTCTCTGTATACAAACAAAAGTATTTATAACTTGAAACATTACTAAAGTAAGCTAAACAATCATCAATTTATTTGTGACAATCACGTCTCCCATTAAATTGGATCACGCTGCTGATCCACACGTAGAAAATCAGATACTTTCCAAAGTACACTTTTCGAAGTGAAAATATATATTTTGTCAGTCATTTAAAATAATTTAAAATAATTATTTGAAATTGAGCTTTGTTAAATTTGAGGATGTAGCTGACGAATATCTTTGATGTAATCAATGGCGTATTTGCGTAACGGACGGAGAGAAGCCTCGCGTTTTGATTAAACGGCTTTTCAAGTACAGCTCTCACATCTCTACTTCGTCCGGGAACGAAAGAACGAAACACCATAGTGCGCAGAAATCTCCACGACTGAAATAACGTTACACCGTCGATGTGAATAAATTTCCGTATTAATAAGGGGCGCATGCATTATGAAAGGAGTGCACGATAGGGGTCTTAGGCGTATGCATTATCGATAATTGCACTGCGACGATTCTCAACCAGAAATTAAGTAATTGCCGGTTTCTTATCGCCGGTTTCTGATAACATCTAATCCAAGTACTGTACCGGACAAATCGATTCTTCTAATATGCACGGGTTCACTAAACACATTTTCTTCTCGACATCGGAACTGATGTAAACTGTAAGATAATCTCAGTGCACGCAGGGAAAAGAAGATACGAGAAATCAACGGCAAATGTTCGAATAAAAGTGACCTTATGACAGTTTAAAAATGTGGATCATCGAGCCCGCGTGCTGAACAATACGCGCGAAAACGAGAGTCAGCCGCACGAGTCACGCGCATTTCCGTACGGGCAAAAAGTGTATGCAGGTGCAGGAACGGTTATCCGTAGCCACAAAAGAAAACGACACAAATAAATGTCGTTTCTTGTTCCAGACTGGTTCAGACTGGTGGTGCTTTTTGCTTCATCATGCATACTTGCGCTCGTAACGGTAGAATCGAGACTCGATTCAAATTCAAGTACGATCTAGTCCCGTGCATATAACCGCCAATGTAACTCTCTATGTGGCGATGCGACTCTCTCTATTATTATCAGAAAGTGATGAATGTGATTTACGGATATGTGTTACGGGCGATTATGCACTTTCCAAAAATTAGTTTGCCACAATATTGCCGATTAATTCAATCTTGCTCTTTTATATGCATCTCTGCAGATGCGGAGTATTACGCACAGTAGAAACTTAATAGGTCATATTGGCTATTAGGTTGCTCGCGTGTGAGGTTGATTATAATCGTGAGCTTCTGACGACAGGCGAGAAATCATTAACTAGATTGCGATAATGAAGCTGAGCTGGCTGTGAATTGCCGGAATAAAAAGATGCACTTCCTCATAATTTCTCCCGTCTGCGAATTTTTATATTATTTTGAATCGAATTTTCACGATAAACTGCGTTGTGGGCGTGAATATTCAAACATCAATGAAATACAAAACCATAAAGATGCCTTTAGAAATGTGTAATTATTTGAAATCGCAATTATTGCAATGGGTTGCCGGGTTACAAACGTTTCCCGCGGTCTTTGGAGAAAGTACGACCGATTATGTTAACCTTGCATCTCGGCCATCGTGCTACTTAAGAGAAGTCAGTCGATGGTTTCTTGCCGGCATTGATAGCCGGCGAACTTGTGCGTTCTCATCGTTTCGTTTCTTCTAATAACTTCTGAAGGAAGGAAATGCAAAAATATTGTCGATTGCAATTCCAAATTGCAACTGATTATTCGTAGTAGTATTTTCTATATAGAGAGAACTTGTAAATCATGAATATTCTTTCGGTAACGGGGAACAGGAAACTAAGTATTACATCAAAATAGCATCAAAACATCTTACCACAACTATTTATATTATTTACCGGCGAGGGGCAACGATCTATTGTCTATTATGTAGAAATAATACGGCCAAAAGGAGGAAGTATTTTCCTAGCATGAATAATGATTTCTTTCGCAACGGACGTTTGTTGCAAAATAAACGTTCAAACAAATTTCGCGCATTCCATAGCAATTTTCAGTTTTATATGTCACGGAAGGAGCACTTGGATGATTTGAACAATTGCGATCGATCAGGTAGATAGTTGCAATTGAGACGTTGTCGTCTTGCGAAACCGAGTATGCACGTATTACGTGCGTTCCCTTTTCACGACCACAAATAAAAATGTGCGCAGTGACTTCGCGTGGCAAAAATTATCATTAATTAAGACTCACTTAAATGGGCAAAATTAGCATCCAAAAAGGGATCTCACTCGCTTATTTTTCGCAACTCGCTTTCATGCAACACCCCGCTTACAATTGACGTAATTACTCACTCGTACGCGCCTCTTTAATCCTCAGAATGTGTAAACGAAGCTTTACATAATTTTCACATACGTTAAGTCTTCCGCGGCTTAGGCGAATAGCGCAGAACTTCCCACGGCCTCCAATACGGTCGCTACACAATAACGAGTGGCATGGGTGATCTCGGTGTGTGCGCTGCGAAACTATTCTTAAGCGCCCGACGAACTAATTAGAACACGCGTAGCACGGCATTTTCAGCTGCCCGTTGGAAAACAGCTATGTGGGAGATGTAATTATTTCCGTTTCATTTTCGCCGATAATGTTTATACAAAGGGACGGATAACAATCTTATGATATACCGTTTATTGTGCTGCGCACATGCTCAGGTACTTTTAGTTAACGTGGTAATCTAATGAAACAAACTATGCGAGAGCAAAGGTATAAAAATAATTTTTGGTTCCATATTAAACAAATGTGGCGAATTGTGTAATAGTTCGATTTGTATGCATTGCAATGTTTGTTGTATCAAATTCTCAACGCTCTGTCTCTCTTCCTTTCTCTCTTTCTTTACTCTATTTTCTCTCTCCCTTCTATGCATATCTACATATTCAGTATTTAAATGCGCAACAGAAGCTATGCAAAAAACATGAACAAAATTTATGTGACGTCGCAGCCACAGTTTCTTTACAAGATAACGCGATATTTTATGATAATTTGTGCAGCGATTAAAAATCTTCCGAGATCTTCCGAACGCACAAGACTCTCATTACCGTCTTCATACAAGTTAACATTATCCCATGAAACTGCATTAGAGTCATAAAAACGACACTTAATAGAGAGAAAAGAAATCGAAATTAATCGCGGATGTCGCGAAGATACTTTCTCCGATTCTAGCCGTACCGTTTTGCTTTTAGATGTTATTCGTGCTGTTCTGCGTCCTGCTGATTGGACACCATGTACAGGCGGTAGTCCACAAGACGTCCTCGCAAACACCGTTAGCGAAGGAAGAAGAGAAACCTGGCAAGGCCAAAGCCGACGATAGAATAAGCAATACTTTCGCTTCTCCGGCCGAGGACTATGGACTACCGTCGGGGTCCGCGGGCTTTAACGGGCCGGCACCGGTGTATGGACCTCCAGAGTTAGTCGGTAATCTTAGACCAACGCCCATTTACCCGCCGCCACCAGCGGAATTGCCGCCGCCTATATTTGGAACGCCGGCCGTCTCGTATGGTTTGCCGCCGCCACCGCCGCCGCGGACTATCAAGCCGCAATATGGACCGCCGCTGAAGCAAAGTTTCGCTTCGACTTCCCTCCTCGCGAAGCCTAGCTACAGCCCTCCGAAACTTCATTACGGACTGCCAAAGCAACACTTTACGCCGCCGTCGGCCTTGTTCCCGTCATTCAAATTGCCGAAACCTCACTACGCTCTTCCCCCATTGAAGTTGGTCGGCACATCGAGTCAACAATATATACCGCCGTCAGCCACGAGTCAGCACGGGCCGCTCAAGCCAGGCCACGGACCACCTATCCCTATATCGCTCGAGACTTACGGTCCACCGCCTGCGAAATTAGCTATTCAGTTTAATCCTCTGCCCAATGACGAGTACGGTCCACCGCCGCCGCCCGCGCCGCAACCGCAATACGGTCCACCGGCCGGTGATTTATACGAACCTCCGCTGCCGGCACCTCCGCCAGGAGTTCCAGCACCACCCACACCTCCTGACATAAAGTACGATGGATGGCAGCCCATCGCGGGATTGGCCAGCTCCCCTAATCAAAGTGGCCCACCGACAGATACGTATGGTCCACCCACCGAAGTCAAGCACAATTACGTCGAGGCCTCGACTTCTTCCGGGACGCACTTGTCCCATGCATCCTTGAGCGTGCCGACCAATTCGAACGTGCCCAGCGACTCTTACGGGGTGCCGATACACAACCCCGAGGCTCAGGATCTCAAGACGTCCGTGCACCAGTCATCGGCTTCCTCGGAGAGCAACGGCTTGCCGCCGCCGCCGCTGCCGCAACAAGAGCCTCTGCACAACAATCAGGGTCCGGGGGTCGTCGCTCCCACCGGTCACGCCGGTCACGCCGATCATCAAGCCGGCTTGCATCAACAACAACAGTTGGGCTTGCAGTATAGCGCGCCAAACATCGAGCCCTTGTCCATCGTGAAGACAGTAGGATTCGAATTGTTACCCACTACCGGTGGCGCTTTGGGCACGGATCTCCAGGGTTTATCATTGTCAGGTGGCACTTCCGACGTTTCGTCATTCAATCATATTACGAGCTCGGTTAACGCCAATTCCGCTTCGCTTCACTCCGGTCTGGAATTGACACCGGACAATGGTGGATCTCACGCTATTGCTCCGGGCAATGACGGGGATTCCCACGGCTTCCAGAATACCGGTGTTGACCTGTCTCTGCAACAGCTGCCGCAGCCGACGCCGTCGAGCGATTACGGCGCGCCTCTCAACACTTTCGGGAAGCACGGCGGAGTGTCCTCCCCGGCCTTGCTGTCTCCTCCGCCTTTAGATTCTTATGGCGCGCCACCTCTCTCGTCTTACTCGCCCAACGGACCGTACCCTGTCGCGCAAGGTGGACGGATTACGCCTCTGTTTTCGTCATTCGGATTGTTCGGAGGCTCTTTCCACAAACAAAATCTGCACCATCCCAAGATCCACGCTCCGATCAGGCCACCGCCGGTTCCTCCCGGTTCTTTGATACCACCGCGAAATCGCGAGCCAGTCAAGTTCAGGGAACCTATACCGATAGGTCTCTTGTCGAACATTAATCGATATGTACCGCCATTTACAAAGCAAAAACTGCACGGGCCGTCGATACCGCTTGGGCAGCAGTTGCCAAGCTACCACGCGCCAACACCTTTCCGTTACGTCTCAGGACCGGCGCTCTCCGGGTCTTTCTCCTCGGCCGGATCGCACAGTGATTATAGCGTGAATTCCCCGGTCGCCGCGCCGCACGTCCAATACGGAACACCATTGTCGTTTACCGACTTCAACACACCAGCACCCCACTTGACGTACGGGGCGCCTAATTTCGGTCCACCAACTTCTTACGTCTCGACATTCTCCGGTTTTGACCAGAATCTCTACAGCGATATCGGTAACAACGCGCTGACAATGACATACGGCACTCCGAACGCGCCATTACCGATCAACGGTGATCACGACTGCAATTCTTTGCAGCCGCTTTTTCCCCCGAGCGGAGGGCTACCTTTGAGCGGTAGCTCACCCTTGAACAGAGAATTGCATTCCAGCGGAGAGGCGCACTTGAGTGCAGGCTTATCTTCGGGCGGTGGAGTGCCCTCGAGCGAGGAGCTATCGTTGGGTGGCAGATTACACGAAGGTGCACATTCTGACGGCAAGTTGCAAGTCGCTTTTGAAAACGCGGTCAATCCCGTCGGGCATGCGGAAGACCCCGCTCCGTTTTTCACCAACTCGCTGTCAACGGGCTTCGCGAGTCCTGCCGGAGATGATCACCTTAGTCCCATCTACCGTGGCCACTCGCTGCCCACGAAACCGTTCGACAACTTCCTGGCAGCGCCGTCGGTGAATACGCTGGACTTGCAGTACAACGAACAACAGAAGATCAACCTGAAGGACAGCTACGGCAATCCCGTGGGAGTGACTTACGACGCGGCCAACGAAGCGAGCAATTCAAAGATCGTTCACGCAACCACTCCGGACGTTTCCAACGAGCTCTCCGTGCATACCTCTAGTCAAACTCACTATCCCGTAGCAACGTCGTTCCAGCAAGATGGAATGTCGGCCGAGGCGTTCACCGCGAGCTTGACCGCGCGAGAGTTCAGCAAAAAAGTCGAGAAGAGTCTCGGGTCGAATGAGGTGGACGCTGATCAATTCTTGAAGTCGAGCGAGGGCAGTGAGGCATTGTCCCTGGCGCAAGGACTAACCGCCAATGATGCTGGCAATTTTGAGGTTCACGGCTCCAGAGGTACCTACACCCTGCAGATACAACCTGCGGACGGGGGACTGGGCACCGAAAATGCGGACGGCAGCATCAGACACGATCAGGTGTTATCCAACGGACTGCTGCAGGACATATTGGCCGCCATCGAGCGACCGGAGAACGATCCCGTTCAATTTCAGGGCCCACCGGAGTCCCAGTTATTGAAGGTTTTCGATAATCAGGCCGAAGGGACTAGTATGAAAGGTCACTTTATCGGCGCGTTGGAGAACTACAAGCTCCCAGAGCGAAACAAGCAAGCCACGAACGAGAAGGAAAAGTACAAGACCCAACCTGTCGCTTTGTTCTACAATCATAAGTACGATGATACGTAAAAAGAGATTAGGTCGGTGTCGAAAAGCGAGACACAAGTCGCGAAAGGGAACGAACGGAGCGAGAACAGTTCCGCGAGGATGCAATCCTCGTAATTTGGATCGTGAGTGCCTTTATGAAAATATTTAATAGTATTTCTAATGATGCGCCTTGACTGCCCGGATGTTGCATTTCGCGGAGAGTTTTCGCCTTCCGTTTTTGACGGGGGGAGAGGGGATATCGCCGCTAACGCAATGCCATTTACTTTCTTCGCTTACGGTCGATCAACAAAGAATTCCGGTAAATGTCCTCCGAGCTGCGAGATCCTCGCGACAACGTCGCGGATACTTTTTTTTTTGCGTGTCGGTGTGCGGAGCGTTGTGCTGACTTCTCGTTGATTTCCCTCATTGAATCGCAGACGAATAATCTGATATTTCCGTATACCTCAACAGACGAGGATTTTTATCTCTAGAGAAGTCGCAACGCGACGGATAAACGCGCTATAAAACAGTATTTTTTAAGAAAATGTTTCACAACTTTCCTGTGAGTTGTTTTATCGTTTGAATGTCCCAAAAGTCGTTTTACCGCGTAAATGTTCCGCGATTTCTGGTGCCGCGCTGGGCTTTGAAAGCACCTTTGCAAGAGTATGATTGACTGGAAGCTGGAATTAGAAGCCGCGCGAACGGAGAAGGAAAGTAATCCTTTTTCTCTTGTTGCAAGCGAGCGAAAGTGATAATTACTTGTTGTAGACTTGTGTATCGACAGCAGGTTATTAGAAGGAAGCGCTCGCCAAGAACTTTTCATCTCTCAGCGGCAGGATTACGGGCGCGATTGTAGGAAGAGAGACGCGCGAGTGTGCTCCCGGCATTTTTATCGCACGGCCAGATTCTGTCAGTTGGTGAATGCCGCCGATCCCGTTATCGGCTCGTACGTTTACCGGAATTTCGCCGAAGGAAGATACAGGACATACCAATTGCACCCGGTGTCCTCGTGTCAGCGGCTTATCCCACCCTTCGTCGTCCGTGGGAATCTCGTCGGCTCAACAGTCCTTCCCTCCGGGAACGGATCGCTGCTAATTATTCGACGTCGAGCGAGATTTTTGTTGGACCAGCGGTGATCGCCGGCATTACTTTCAAGCCGAACCCGATGAAAGTGTCCGGCATTCGCGGCTCTCGCGTGATACGCGGGTACGTTAAACCGGTACGAGACATCATGCGCGTTTATTAATGCTTATGTAGGTCAATAGGTTACGGCACTGCTCTCGCGGAGTACAGCTAGCGACGTGGCGCAAAGCTACGTAAAGTCGCTCGGTCGTTCGCCGGACGATGGGACGTGATCAACGGCCTCGTATCTTTTGCGGTTTCAACCTTCGCCGAGGTGAAAGTTCAAAGCCTCGTTTAACGACCCGATGGAACAGTATACCCGGTGCTCTTATGAGAGTCTCGTTTTGAGTGAAACGCACGCGAGTGTCTTTCTCCATCTCTGTCTCTCTCTCTTTCCCCACGTTTGCGGGCGTTCGAGCGCATCGCGCCTCGACTTCGCGTGTCCTCAGTGACGGATAATCGGTGGATGCGAATACGTCTAGTCCGCTGCTTACACGTGCGTAAAAGAAAGAAAGAAAAGAAAATGAAAGAAGAAAAAGAGCAAAAAGGAAGCGTACACGACGCGTATGCGTGCTTACGGGGGCTGCATGCGACGGAAATACACCGCACCCTTGAAACGTCTATACTATCGGCTACGGGGAGAGAGAACGCGCGAGCGACGAACCATTACTTCCTTCCGCCGCGCGTATTAACGACTTCAGCGCGCGAGCCGCGGTAAGGTACCGCGCGTAAGTCGAAAATGAGTGCGTGTCGTGAAAGCGCGCCATTAAATTCCCGAGTGTGGCATAATCCTAAAGTTCTTGCATTTTTATGGTTTCCCCCTGGCGAACGGTTATGCATAACTTGGTGCACTATTGCAGATACGTAAAATAAGTAGAGCGTGCACGCTTAAGAGACGCTCATTGTTACGAAGTACGCAGCGACGATACTGCCAAGCCATAAAACGCATCCACTCGCTCCTAATCCATATCCACCTTCTTCTTCTAGGATTTTAATTTATTATTTTATTCGCGCGAGAGCGCGCGCGCTCTGTGCACGGGCATCCAGCTTATATCCGACGAGTAATCGATGCTATCACTCGTCGGATATAACGAACTTATTAGCTTGTACTTTTGATATATGTACGCCCCGTATGTAAATATATCGATACTTTGTAAATAGAGCTCAATTTTTGTCCTGACCTCCTCCTCTTTTTCTCATGTTACCTCTTGTTTCCATTTATCACAAATACAATGAAATGTGACAATGAAAGCTGCAGCTGTACTTACTTTCATTAATGTGCGTTACCTCTTCTCTTCTCTGTATCGTGTTATCTCGGCGATCCGCCTCTTTTCTATTTACAGACAACGCTTTACGCCGAGCCCAATCGTAAATATTGACGTTAAGAGTACGGGATATTACGGAAACACGTTGTTTTCAAGTCCATTTGCAGAGATTGGCCCGCCGTAATGTGGATTACAAGTTTGCACATCCGAAAGTGTTTGTTTCGTGAAAGTACCCGGCTACATCGGCGGTCGCCTAAATACCGCGAATTCTGGCACGGCGGAGAAACGGAAACGTATGAGGGAATTAGGTATCCGCCACTAAGTAGAATTACGGTTATGTAAATGAGACGCTATCACTTCGCCTTCGGTTAGGACGGTTAGCACCCAGTTCCTCGCGCTAAAATCGTCGCTCGCTGATTTTCCGCGCGAGTCCATTCACCGTCTAGGTATCCATCGGCTTTCTTTCCCCACTATTTGCCCCGCGCCGTTCGCTTCATTTTCTCGCTTTCTGCCACTTATTGTGCTTCGCGTTACAAGACAATACGATCATGAGACTTCTTTTGTAATCTGCAGCTGAAGCTATGAGAATATTCGCACGTTTTCAACGCTACGAAGACGAGCTTGTCCGCGTTAAATCAGTATCGAGCAAACTGATGGGTCAGCGTCGTTTCAACATTTCGTCGGCCTTTCTCTGCCTGTGATATCGATATCGACTAGTGATATCGACTGGTAAAAACACAAATGCATCAACGAATAACGTCACGCGGTTACACGCATTTATTTTACAAGTAAAATTATCTTGTTAATTATTATCTTCCCGCAACAATTTAATTTCGCACTAGACATCTGCGAATGCTCTTGTAGGCTTTATTTCGTTCACTGCAGCTGTGTACTAGCAGAGCCTGTTTACATACCTCTTGCGCAAAGTTATTGTGTCAAGCGAAGATTATATATCGGATTATTATATACCGGATGGTATTAAAAAAGCGAACACATTTCTAGTAGTTGATGATCCTTTGCAAAATTCGTTAAAATTCATCGAACATGCATAAGACTTCGCAACGTTCGAGGCGCGGGAAAAAGCTGATGCCTACAAAGATGAAGTGAATTTCACCGGCGCTCCGGCGCGATCTAGAAGGCGCGTAACGACTTCCTTCTCCTCGTGTAGTTTTAATCGTGCGCCGTATCGCGTGGAGTTGCCGGTTCCTCGAGACGAGCTGGTGACGAGAAGGGATTGGTAGGGATCTCGAAGGAAGGTTTCAAGGGTTAGCCAGGGGGAACGTATGCATTTTTCGCGGAGCTCGGAAGTGCTTTATTTCCATACTGAGGTCGTATCCGTACACACCGACAGTCATACTGATCTCAGGAGGCACGTTGTTGCCTCATGGGCGATATATACGGAATATAAGGCGAGCCGACAGGCGGAGTCTCGGATGTATCGTTGCCGGTATGCCCGGCGTAGACCCTCCGCCGAAGGCAAAATTGTCTTTCCTGTGAATAGCAAATAGTTGCTGAAAGCGAGATCTCCGAAGGAGAAAATCCTCCCTTGAGATTATAGGGGACGGCTGGAAGATAACGACACTTAAATCGTTCCGATGTTCTAAGGACGTCTCGGCTAACTTCTCTTCGCACGACGCACTAACAATCTATTTTGCATCGGCCGGGTAAACTAATGATTACGTTTGCTCGTTTATCTTTCGCGGTCTTGCGCCACTCCGTATGCGCACGGTGTCACGATTTAAAGCACGGTACGTAATGTGTAATTACAGCCACCTTGATTAAGGTCTTTCTCACTCGTTATGTTTTTTCCGTCCGCGCTGGTATCGCGATAAAGTGGGCCTCTAGCACGGCACATTTTTTGTGCGCACGCGAGTGTAAGTTTCACGAGCGGTAATGCAACCAATATCGCTGTGTCATTGTTTAAGTAATCGTCGGTTCATTCATGCCTTGAGTTTTGAATTTTTCATTTGTGCTCTAATCGAGTTGATTCCTCGACTTTTCGTCCGGCATTTATTTCGATTCATTTTATGCTGCGCTACTCAAACATCAATTTTGTCGCTTATTTTTATTACTGATCTCCAAGTCTTGAAAGTTTCTAGATTTTCAATAGCTTATATAATTCCAAGAATATCGATGCTCTGAAACTTTTGATTAAAGTTCAAAACTTGGGTTGGTGCTTTGAAACTTTCGACGAGGGAAAAATTATTCCAAATCGATCGAGTGTGATCCATAGATAAAAAAAGAAATGAAACACTATTTTTTAAATTTTTTGTGACAATATATTTTCAAGTCTCTATTAATCTACTTCAGCAATGTTGTGTAAATCATTCTCACTTTCTCTCTCCTTCTAAATAACCGAAAATAAAATAACCGAAACTTACAGATGCTTAATTTCACGGAGAGAAATAATTGACAGGCACAAAAAAGATGAAACGCGGCCGTTCTTATTTATATTGCACTTACAATCTTATACGACCTATATCGTGTCGAAGGAGAGCGTGGCAAATTCATAGTGAGCGGAGAAAGGTGACAGGCGATGTATACCGAAGGAATTTTTCGACGATCTCGTGGAAGTGGTTTAACCTTCCCAAAAAAGAGATTTCTTTAGCATAGGAAAAGGAAAGTGTAACAAGGAGATGCCTGATAACCTGCTTTATGGAATAAAGGAGACAGAAGTTCTCATACAAATGTTAATCTCGCATCAAATCCCCCGATTAGTACTCCGATTGTCAATATTAACATATTTCTCATGAAAGCCTTGAGCGCGATAAGATTTAGATGCGCGATCTACAAAGTTCTTAAATAACAAATGAGATTAACCTTTGTTTTCAGATCCTCGGAGGCTAATTCTACTTGCAGATCAACATTGTGATGCCGGCTGTGCACACATTACTTTTACTTGGGAAACCGAGTCCGGACTCGATCTAGCGTGAAAGAAAAAGTTTCGCCGGCGGTCTAGACAATCGAGGAATCATCTGTGAGACCCTAATTGAATCAAGGCGCTGCACATGACGATAGATTTCACGCGCTTTGTACTTTCATTCATTAATCTCTTCCGAGCGGATGTCTCGAACATTTAACGTCACCTACGTAGATTGAATATCGTCGTAGCCATGATTGCTCATGATTGCGAAAGATCACGGGTGTTTATGGATATGATGAATGACACTGTTTCGCTCCAAACGCAATATATGCGCGGCTCCTAATTAGGTTCACCAGATTAGCGACGCACAGTTTCGCCCGTATAATTAATTTATTGATGTATCAACCGGTGAGCGTGTGCGGGACAGCGAAGAAGGATGAGGCGTGATTACGTACTTCACGCAGCATTGCTCGTAAGTCAACGTTCTGCGCCTACGCAGTCGATGCGCAAATGTCGAAGTTCTTTGCTAAGCTGAAGTAATCGTTCTTTCGTAAAGCAATGAGCAAACGTGTAATCACGTTTTAACGTACGATAAACTGTTATTATGATAAACAAGTTTCGAGCAAGTAACATTTAACTCGGCGAGATTCTCCTGCATCGTTGACCATATTGGAAGTCAAGCAAGCGATTAAATAAAATTGATATTAAACTTTTATCCGAAAAAGCAGGATCATGGACTGTGCTAGCTTTAATGTGACTTGGTTGGTTATAAAATCAGGTACAGCATTAACATGGACGAGGAAAGATTTTTTTCGGATTGACAGGTATATATTAACGTTCGGCCGACTACTTGAACGGAATATAACAAGAAAATCAGTGTCTGCAATCCGCAATCTTTCGGACAGAATCGCGGCATGGATAAGGAGACACATGCCGCGGCGCGGAAGACTACCGACGAAGAGTGGGTGCGAAGCAGACAATAAGAGAATAAAGACGGGCAGGGAGAGACCGAGCGTGCGGAGGAAAAAATAGAGCGCGTTCGTAATCGAAATAGAGGTAGAGCAAGAAGGCAGAGGCGCGGCGGCGGGTGGGAAGGAAGAAGTCTACGAGGAATTCCATAAAAATCGGTGAAATATGCATAGTACCGCGGAACGTGGAGAAGCGACGCGACGTCGTCGAGCGTCTCCGGGGAAAGCGGAAATCTCGGCGCGGAAAGAAGGAGAAAGAACGAGGAAAGCCCGCTGGAGGAGGAACGGAGGCGGCGGTCCAGAGGGCGAGACGTAAGAATGAAGGTGGCGTGGGCGGCTGGTGGGTGAGGAGGGAAGAGAAGGTGGCGTAGAACAGATAAAGGAAAGAGAGGTTAGAGAGCGAACATTTGGAACGTCTTCCCGAACGAAATCTAATTTCGGTCCCATGGCGAAACTAAGCTATTTTCCCCGCAATATGCACGCACGCGGGCATGCGCAAGTGTTCCGCCGGCGTTTTTCAGCCTCTTACACGCCCGGAGGCTCCAGCCGGAGGGATATCCCTTAACGTTCCTGCGCGAGTCGCGCGAGTCCGGTGCGAGAGAAACGCGTATTCGAAATGGCTGATAAAATTCCCGCCGTCGTAACCCGCCGGCAAGGCTCCTCGTAATTTCGCTGATGGTCGTGTTAGCCTTAGCAGCTGGGAAACGATCTTTCATTTCGGTATGCTCAGTCGTTTGTTCCCGCCGTGCCGTTGAGTGCACGTACGCGTCACCCGTTCCTGAATCGTTCGCAGGCTTTATGCCGCGGTGCAGAGCGCGCGTTAAGAGCCATTCATTATTTCCGACGGTACGTCCTTTTGACATTTTCGCTCATCAGGAGGTGATTGTTGCACTTTTGTGCGATTGAAACGCAATGACTGATCGTTTGTCGCTGAAATCCATTTCCATGGATACGCGACAGACAACTCTCAATAACTTTGTCCGAATATTTTCAGCGTGCAATCGCGTAAACGCGTTACAACGCGCATCTCACGAAACATTTCAAAATGCTCGTAATATTGTATTTGTTTCGCCATGTATTACAC